TCCAGTGATTGATTAATGTAATGAGAGAGATTTGTCTTTACAAACAAACTGTGGGTCTGCTGATAAATAAAACTGGATACTGAGAGATTAAAGAAACAATGAGAAGAACCATAAATCCCATAAAGAATTCCACTAATTGACACAAGGAAAAGACAAAGGTGGGGGGTTATGCATTAGAAAAGAGTCTTAGGTGTCAGGTTTGGGGAAGTCTGTACCTCCCAAATATCTCAGCCAATGGGGAAAGAAGAAAATGTGGCCAGGAAATTAGAATAAAAAGGAGAGACCCCAGGGGAAATGCCCCATGGTCTCTCCCTTTATTTGAATAAAGTTACAAGACTCCTCTGTCTCCTTTTTGGACGTAAACCTCCGATGTTTGTGGATTAATTTTCCTGCCAGTAGCAAATCTCAGTAGTTCCAATGCATTTGCCAGCTACAGATAAAATAGTGGTCTAACATTTTACACCATAGTCAGAACAGAGCACTTCACACTCAGTTTTGGTTGTGTAAATAGCAGGGAGAGTCTGACACTCAGCAGTCACATTAAGGTAAGTATCTACCAGTGCTATGTGAACTGTCAGAGCTTTGATGTGTACTCACCTTATCTTTATTTCCACTTTCTAGAAAAATTCCCCTGACCATTGAGAAGTCATTTAAACCCAGGCGTTTTCTCCTACCTCTATTTCCAAGTGAGAAAGATGCTGTTTTTCAGGCCAGGAGATTGCCTTTCCCCAGCTCAGAAGAGAGACTACCTCCTAAGACTTTTTCACCATGAAGAATTCATGACAGCATCCTGGCACATTGCATCAGGAGTTCTGAGAGCTTTTCCCTTGGGACTAGAAGTCCTTCCTTGGGGAGGCATGACTCTTCCGTTTAGGAGAGTTCTAAGCACTGGTCCTTCTCTGCAAATCTAGTGTAGATAATTATGGTAAAAAACTCCATGGTGTCAATCAGCTTGGATCTAAAAAAGCAGAAGCACTTTGAAGGCTTCTTTATGTTTAAAAATGTGGTTTCTCAGGGAGTGAGCTCTCCAGGCTTTTTTAGTCCTGAACTATTTTCTTCTGTACTAAATTTATTTCAACATACATATATAAGGACATGTTCAGATATGAAATATAGAAAGAAATATATTTTACTTATTAGAATTGTTTTATACCTGAAATATTTTGGTTTCAGTAAATATAAAATTAAAATGAGACTTCAAAAGTAGCATAGACATCATAACCTCAGGGGAGTGTTTCAATACTCAGTGCTTCCTTCCTCAGCTAGAGATGGGCACAAGACAGATTTGTCTTCCAAAACCGATGTTAACTGGTAGCCCCTCCTTGGTGGAAGGCCAGTGGAATGCAACCTGAGTTTTGGACTCAAAAAGAAGATCAAATTCAGGCTTTAATTTTAAAATTAAAAAAACCACGAGAAGTTGGATGTTCATCAGAAAAATCATTGATCCTGATCAGAATTTGAAGCACTGTTAAAAACTTAAAAACTAGTGTGACATGAAAGCTGTTTTTCTCCAGAGGCCGTCAAAATTCCTTTAGAACATTCTTAGGAAGAGACTTCTTGATTTGTTGGTGACCTTTTGGATACAATGACATAGCCAGCATTTACGAGTTAATTGAGAGTCTCTAAACTGCTCTGCTTAAAAAAAATTCCTGATACAAAATAAATCTCTTGTTGGACTAAAGACTCTGCACTTTTTGGGCAAGTATAGTACAAAACCTTTAGCAGACCTGAATATATTTTCAAAAGTCTTATTTGTCACAGAAGAAAAGCCAATTACACTGTTACCAAGAACTAAGTAGGGATAAAATACAGGTATTTAAACCCCATCTATTCTGTTAAGAGCTATAGTCTATTAAGTAGTTCTGTTAAGAACCACCATCACCTAATATTTCCTACTGACCTCCACAAGATGCAAAGGTCTTGCAAACCAGTAGCATACCCAGCACCACCATAGCTATTAAATCATATAATTTCTTTATATTCCTTTGCATATAAACTTGCAGCATACCTGGAATTACTTAGGAAAATAAAGTTACTTAAAGAATGACAGTAGTGAGATCGAATCTTAGAACACATCTATTAATGGTCAGATTCAAAGAAGACTAAATGCAGGGAATCACCCTGGTCCTCTCATTAAAAATTCAACAACCTGTAAGCAGGAAGGTTAGAATGGAAAGTGTTCATTCTGAGATACTGCTAAGCTACAATTAAAAACTGCAAGTTAGGACGATCCTTATCATTTGCTTTAGTATTGATCAAAGCAGAACATGCATTACTGCAAGCAATAAATACCAACCCTAACAAACATTAACCTTCATTTTTAGTAAGGAATGATAACAAAAGGTGCAAAAGGTGTATTGCTATTTTTCCTTGTTATTTCCTGAATTAAAGTTGAAAATTACTTTTTACAATTTAATTGGTAAATAGCATTTTGAAAAGGTTCAAACTACAGGGTTTAAATAGGACAAGCCCTCAAAGTGTTTGCCTCAAAATGCCTTGGAATTTGAACTCATCTATTTGTGTACCTATTTGAGAGGGAAGGATTCTTTTCCCATGGCTGTAAAATGTAGTTTCTCTTGTCTACAAAGAAAATAATATTAGAATCCTTGAAATCAATGCTTATTTTTTCCTTCAGTGGCTAAGGAAAAGAAGGATTGCTGGTAAAATTAAAAATACTTTAATGGGTTTACAACATCCCAAGCAAAGCAATCCCTAAAACAAAACTAGACAATAAATGAAGATAATTTTCTATTTTTATAAAGAAGCACTGACTAGTTAAGGTTAAATCACTGCAGAGACTTAAGACACCCTATAGAACAGGTGGGAACTCTCTAGACAGACATTCCAGGTTGACTAAAGAAGCCAGTTGCTCAGGCTAAAATTCAAGTAACATCTTTTCAATGTTGGGAAAACATTTTATGGGATCTGAAGAAACAGAATGTAGTCCAGATCTGAAGAACAAAGAAAAGACAACTGACACATCTACACAAATTAAGCAAATATTTCCTACACTAAATCTAAGAAAAATTCCTCAGCAAAACTTTACTTAAAACATTAAAGATTACATACCCCATTATATTTTCATCAAAATTATGGGGGTTTTTTTAATGTGTGGGTGGTTTTTTATGGGTTGTTTTTTTTGGGGTTTTCTTTTTGTTGTGTTTTGTTGGCACAAATAGCCGCTTGTGCTCATTCATAACAGTTTGTTTTGTTTTGTTTTGTTTTATTTTGTTTTAGTTGGTCTGTGAGTTCCAGGGTAGAGATGATGTGAAAGATGTGCCTGCTTCATTTCAAGGGGCAATGTTAGCCCCATAATATGACCTCCCATTCTTTTTTTTTTCCCCTCACATTACCTATTTCAGCAGTCTCTGTGGCATTTCAGGAGCAATACAGATATGATCAGATTATAAACCTTCATTTCAAAATTATCAGCATAAGGAACATGGAAGTACATTATATAATATCTGATCCCAAATGAAACTGGGAAATGTGAAATTGAAGGATATGAAAACATTGGTTAATTTAGTCATAGATCACAATTGCCATGAAAAATATTCTAAAAGTCCTTGTAAAACTTCCATAAAAAGGAATAAATTGTTCATAGCTGCCTTTTCATGTGATTGTAGCATGACTATAATTTTAACATGTTTTATTCTCTTTATCTGTAGACAAAGAAAAAAAACCCAAAGTTTTATCTGGCCATTCTTACTGTGGAAATTTTTCAATAAGAAGTTATTTAAGATGTAAGAGCTTCTCTTGTATCTTAACCCGATTTCTGTGAGAATTAAACAAGAAAATCAAAGTGAGGAAAAAGCCAGTGACTAAAAAAATACAGTTTTGATTTTATTTTCTGTACTAACATTACTTTGCAACCTCAGTCTTGGAGAAAAACCAGTTTGCAGTGTAGTCTTGCTCAACCATCAGAAAACATGGCAAATATAAACTAACAAGTGTTTCACATGTTCTTAAGAGTCCATTTTTAGTCACAGATTTATATCATCATTGCAGAGGGAATTCCTGTTGATCAATCCTGCATGCTTAAAAAGTTTGTCAAAAAGTGAGGAAAACAATTATGAAATTGTGCTTAGGATGGTTTTGTTGATACTCAGGCCCAACAATTTGGTCTTAATTTCCAGCCCCGTACTGCACGTTTATGAGCCATTATCTCAACAAGGCAACAAATGTTAAATGTTAACATCAGGAGCCAGTACCTGAACATCTTTTAGCTTTTAACAGTAGGTATTTATTGACAAACTCATTCAGAGGGAGTTGGTCAGGCCTTACTGATTGGAGTGTCATACAGCAAAGGAGTTGTACAAGTGCATTGATAAAAACAATTATGTGATTAACATGGTGAAGGGTCTTTTTGCAAGTGTTTTAGGGATGAATAGCTCAAATGAAAGCAGTGACCTTAATACAGAATTCAGGATAATAATTTTTTTCTTGGATGTACAGCTGCATAGAAACACAGAATGGCATTTTTCACTGAAGCAAGATCTTTAAATATTTACAAAAATGGAAAATATTTGTAGCTGCAAGCAAACGGAACACCAGCTGCCCACTCAGCTGCCTCAAGTTAATGAAAAACAAAGGAGATATTTTTCCTTATGCTTCTCTACCTTCTCAAGATAGAAGCATCAACTATTTTTAGTAAGATTCAAATAAAATCTGGGCACATGGTTATGCACCCATAATATGACAATTACTTCAAGGTTATCTTGCCAAAGCATTTTTAAATTAGCAACTGCTTGTTATAAAATCATCAAAATAGTCTCTCCAAATTATGGTTCACTCTCACCATGTAATACACTACTTAGGCACTGGACAAACATTCTAACAAAAGGAACAAAAATGGATTTTCTTGTTTTTAAAGATAAACTAATTGGGCTGTCAGTTTACCTGTTGTTCCTAACTCAAAACTTCTTGGCAGAGAATGGGTTTAATGATTACCTTTTATAACCTCTGTACTTAGGCTGCTGCTCCTTCATATTCTGGTTTCAGACATGGACATGCCTTGCTTGTAACTGGCTGGGAAATCTAACAGGAGAAATACACTTGGCAAGGATTCCTGGACCTGATTGACACCAAACAAATATAAATAAATAAGGTAAGTGAAAGCAAGAATTGCTAAAGGTAATGATGGAAGCAGTCTAAATACATGACTTTAAAAGAGACATTGGGCACAAAGCTACAATGAAGTTCAGCCACCCAAGCCCTGCATTCTTCATGTGTGCAGTTTTCATCATAGGTTTAAAGTTAGATTAATTATGATTATTTAAAAAAATCTATAATTCAGAAGATAAACTTGATGACCTTATAGCCTAAATGTTTCTGAAGACCAATTTCAAATGCTGCAGTTTCTGTAGCCAGTTACTACTTAATTTACATAAAAACCCCAACTTATGTTTCCTAAACATTATGTCTTCCAGAGTTACAATCTGTATAAAAGCATAAGGATCTTCAGCATTCAAATTCAAGTAATTATAGTTGTAGAGTCTTAGGAGAAAAGAGACTTTTGACTGAATCTACTTTGGAGACTCAGGATGTAACCCAATCAATTTCCTTCACTGTCTCCGATTCTATTTTACACCAATATTAGGGGAAACAAGCAAAATCCTCACCAAAAAAAAAAAATAAAAATTAAATTTAAAGTCTAAATTTAAATTTGAAAGCAAACTCTTTACATTCCAGTTCTAAAAAGGACAAAACATTGAGTGGAAGACATTCACCCTGAATCAACACGGAGAAGATTGCTGACCCTTTCTGAAGCAAAGAGCTGCTAAATAGATGATTCTGTAGTCCACACTCTGTTTAGCAGATGCTTCCATCTCCAAGGAACTGAGGCAAGGCCTGATTTAATGAAGAATGGAAAGAAGGTCTCCTAGATAAGAAGAAAACTAGCTTTTGGGAGGAAGATAAAATCTGTCTGGGCCTTTGGAGGAGTTCAAAGGAAGGACTGGCTATAAAAGCTTGATCGTTCCAGTGAGGGCATCCTGGAAACTGAATGTAAGAAGACACAGACATTCCCTGCCGGGTGGGTATAAGGAGAACACACAGCAAGCCAGAGGAGGAGGTGAAGCTCACATCACTTCTCGTTTTCCTCTCTGAGCAGGTAGTTCCATGGAAGTCCTTTTCCTATGAGCAAGTGTGTGCATGTGTTTGTTTTCTGGTAATATTTACCTGCACTATTTTCTACCCACATACATCAGCAAAAGTCAAGCAACATTAATATGCTAGAGTGAGATTTTGTTGTTATTTCCTTAGAAATTTCAACAAGAAAAACAAATGGGTGAAGAAAGCTTGAAGAAAAGAAAAGGAGAGGACAAAGGAAGAGAGGACAGACAATCCATTCAGAGTCATGAGCCCCAAACGATGAACCTACAAAAGCAGGCAAACCTTTTTCTTTTCCCCCTTTGGTCGTGTGTCAGGGGTTGGCAGAGGGAAGCAGAAGGGGATATTTGTGCACATGCATCAGCATACAAAAACCACCACTGTGTCCCAATTTAGCAAAAATATCCTAGTATCTCAACAATGTGGTTGGTTTGCAATTTCAGAAACAGCTAGTTACTGAAGTTAAATAGCTCTGATATAAACAGACTAAACCCCCAAGAATATGTCATTGAAGTGATCAGATAAAATTATTGAAATATTTACTCTTAAGTTGATAAACTGAGGCATTTCATTAACTTTTTTCCCCACATGTACTTTTCAGAATTTGTAGTGGGTTGTTTCAGCTCATTGTTTCTCAAAATTGGTTAGTGTTTATAGCCAGAAAATAGGCACTGGTAGTTGAAGACAAGTGAAAATCTGTCTCCTCCAGAGAAAACAGATGCTTTAGAAAACAGTTGTGTAGCTTCCTCTCAGGAGGGAGTGGCATTTCTCTTAATTTGAGTAGCCTGGAAAAAGATTATCTATATGGTTTTAGTTCGGTGCCAAGACTGGAAGAATGCTGATGTTATTAGAGTAGCCATAGCTGTCAGAAAATATTAAGTAGCCTGTGCCACTTGTTTTAATAATACATGCCTCAATTTCAATGGTTTCATGTAATATTGTAGGTCACTACAAATGTGGGAGAACATGATCTTATCACCTAGCAGTATCAACACCATTCTGAGATACAAATATTTAAAGCAAGGAGAGGAAAACAGCTGCTCAACAAAAACAAAACAAAAAAAACCCCAGACTCCATCCATGAAAGACAATTTCTGAATATTTGAAAATTCAGAATTCATCAAGTGCTTGTAAAAGAATGTCATTGCTTAATCAGAGAGGAAAGGGCAAGTTCACCCATTCAAGATTATATTTGAGTCTCACATAGTCCAAAAGACAATTTAATAAAGGAAATAGGCAGGCAAAACACAAATAGATGTACTTTTGAAAACAGCAGGAGTACACCACAGGATACATACAGATCTTGGAAAGAAGGGTGAAACTTTGCAAAATTGTTTAATATATTTCTTTATAGAACTTATCTATCAAAAGCAAATAAAAATCAGTCAGTAATGACAATTACTGTTGTTCCATAATATTGAGAAGTAATTGGCGAATTACTGGAAATTGCTTACAAAAACATCTCATTTTATTTCAAGGTGGGCCTCATTAGTGGAATCTGTATGATTGTTGGCACAATTATTGGCTCAGGTATCTTCGTTTCTCCAAAATCAGTGCTTGCCAATGTCGAAGCTGTGGGTCCTTGTTTAATCATCTGGGCAGCCTGTGGAGTCCTGGCAACATTAGGTAAAAAAACTCAACAAAGAGTCTCAATCTTTGCTTTAAATCTTCATATCTGCTGTTTCTGCAAACTACTCTCATTTCATAAATTAGCTAATAGCACCTAGACCAAAATCAACTAAATCCTGTTGTATATATGTATAGAGTACTCAACCACAAATTAAAAACGTGTTGTTTATGGAAGACAAATTAAGTTTTAAAATTGTAAATCACACTCTAATGTGAAAGGAATTTTAGTTTTTCCTGCTTCATCCACTGACTGTAATAAAGAGAATAGTATTCTACTTAAATAGCTGGCAGTATGTGAAATTTACTGGTAGTGAGCTAGGTACTTTCTGCTAGCTTTCTATTTCTATTCTATTTCTATTATCTGAAAAAATGTTTGTTTGTATTGGTTTTGTTGAAGTCTGAAATAAAAATGGTAGTAATTTTTAGACTGCATCTGAATAATTTCAGGGTATTTTTTTCAATTGCTCACAAGTAATTAAAATTTTATTTTGCATATACTGTAAAACATACAGAAACATGAAGAGAGTAATGGTGCACTGTACAGATCAATTTCCTTCACTTTTCCACCTATTAAAGAGCAATCATCAGTTCAAGCAGTCCCAGGTTCAAAAGTGCATTAACTAAACCTGCTTTTCTTGTTATTCAGGTGCTCTTTGTTTTGCTGAGCTTGGCACAATGATCACAAAGTCTGGGGGAGAATATCCCTACCTCATGGAGGCATTTGGCCCAATTCCAGCGTTTCTGTTTTCTTGGACAAGCTTACTGGTTACAAAACCCAGCTCCTTTGCAATCATCTGTCTCAGCTTTGCAGAATATGCCTCAGCTCCTTTTTATCCAGGCTGTGATCCACCCCAGGCTGTCATCAAGTGTCTGGCAGCAGCTGCTATTGGTAAGAGCCACACTTTCAGAGAGACCAGGTCCAAAATCGCATAGTGACTTGTTTCTGGCCCATCAAAAAGTGCCTGAAACTGCCTTGTCATCACTGCAGAGGGAATTCCTGTTGATCAATCCTGCATGCTTAAAAAGTTTTCAAAAAGTGAGGAAAACAATTGTCAAATTGTGTTTAGGATGGTTTTATTGATAGTCAGGCCCAACAATTTGGTCTTAATTTCCAGCCCTGTACTGCACGTTTATGAGCCATTATCTCAACAAGGCAACAAATGTTAAATGTTAACATCAGGAGCCAGTACCTGAACATCTTTTAGCTTTTAACAGTAGGTATTTATTGACAAACTCATTCAGAGGGAGTTGGTCAGGCCTTACTGATTGGAGTGTCATACAGCAAAGGAGTTGTACAAGTGCATTGATAAAAACAATTAAGTGATTAACATGATGACGCGTCTTTTTGCAAACACGCCAGAAATCTTTAAGACACAGTCCAGTGAGCCCTTCCCACAATAACTAATGGAAGAGCATAAAAAGGATAGGTATAAAAATAGTTTTTTCTTAGTCTGAGGTTTTTTTTTTAAATTCTTCATTACTATAGATACATCTGTATAATGAACGCTTATCTCTAGCAGAAAAGGAAGAAAAAATAAATGTTGAAATTCTATTTCTTTATTTATTAGAATGCTGTGAAACTTCAAAATGTTTTTTATTAAAGGTATACTATAAAAATCTAATTCATAAAGCTGTTTTTCCTCACTATTTTAAAAGTTATCCAAACACAGTAAGTAAAAACTGCATAGAATATAGATAAAAAGTGTGAGAGAAAATTACTACAGTAAATAAGGGGAGGGTCAATTTTCTTTAAATTCTGACAAACAGTTCAAAAATTTATAATTTGTTTTCTTTTAGTGGTAATTACAATTGTGAATTCATTGAGTGTGAAGCTGGGAAGTTACCTCCAGAATTTTCTCACAGCTGCTAAAATGATCATTGTCACAATCATTATTGTAAGTGGAATTGTTCTCCTTGCACAAGGTAATAAAATATATGTTATTTGAAGAAATTATTTTAGCTTTTTCTGTGATCATTAAAAATTCCTCACTGACAAAAGTGACACAGAAATAAGGCACAGCCCTGAATCTCTTAATTCAGGGTTTTAGTTCTGCCTCTCTTGGAAACAATGGCATTTTCTTTCAGAGAAGGGTGATGGGTGCAAAATGCAACACTACAGATCAATTAATACAAAAGGGTTTTCATTAATTTTATAAGTGTAAAGTTTCAAAATATGAGACATATGCTGGAATGTTCTTTCAACTGGTGGGGATTACAAGAATAAATTTCAACACTGATCAGTAGTCTTCCTCTTATTTGCAGGAAAAACAGATAACTTCAAAGATTCTTTCAAGGGCAGTAAAATTTCTGTTAGCTCTATCAGTTTGGCATTTTATAATGGACTCTGGGCATATGATGGATGGTAAGAAATCTTTATTAACCTTCACAGTTACAGTTTAACAGCCTTTAACTGGTTTACTCTCTCTGTAGAGCTCTTGGAAGAAGTTACAATAACAAAATGACAAATCAGAACAACTGATTTGTTATTAAGAATATCTTGATGAATTCTGGAGAAAGAACACTAGTTTGGTTAAAAAAAAACCCCAGAACTCTACCCTCGTTTACTTGCTGTTTATTAAGGAAAGAAAATATTACATCCCAAAAGGACTACTATGTCTTTGGTGCTGAAGGTGCTTAGATACTGCAGTAATGAGGAGAATATAAAACAGTTTAATTCCATTGTGTTAGACAAAATAGCTTTCCCTGCAGGTTACCCCATCAAATTCCATTTCTTGTGAAATATGTAGTGGTGTTTGATTAGTACAGGAGAACATAAAAAGGAACATTGTGTCAGAAATTATAAGGTTCAACTTGCAGATTTTTTTCTAAGGGAATGTCAGTTGGCATAGAGTTCTGTTGGCACAAATCCAGTGTTAATCTTAAATGTACAAACTGCAAAGGTCTGTATATAGGTCAGTGCTTTGGAAGCAAATAAGAATATCATCTTGATGTCCCACATAGCAATTCCCATTTACAAGCTTTTGAAACTGAATTTATTTTAAATAGATTCTTTTTTTAGGTTGTTTCCAAGCTTGAGTATCTCAATTCAGGCATTTAAGTCTGCTAATTCAGGCATTCATATGGACTTTTTAAGAGGGCAAAGAAGCTGATCCCTAAATAATTATTTGTGTTTGTAACCACCAGGCACTAACATTTGAAAATCTGCCTTTGAACTGTAAATACTAACTCTTCAGATTTTCAGAGTGGATGAATATAAAAACCTTGTTTCAATTGTTCTACGTGCTCCAGCAAAAATGGGTATTTGGAAATTATAATTCAGATTGGTATAATCCTTAAAAAGGTTTTCATGCCTGTTTTCTAAAGGCAGTATGACTTACAGAACCACTGTGAAACACCAGAAGATTTGCTTTTCTCTTTGCCCTCAGCACACTGTTGCTTCTATTTGAAAAGACTCAGATACTGCAAAGCTTGAAGTTGAAAGGTAATCTTATAAATCCTAGGATGTCTGCCAAATTTTGTTTGATTATTCTGGGATATTTTATCTAATATTTAGAGTCTCGGAGATACCAGAGATAATGCAAAAAGACATGGTGGATCAAGAGGCTGACTTTTGGATGAGAAACTCACATAGATTTTGTCCTGCTTAAAAGATTAATTTTACTATTTTTTCCCTTTTTAAAACTGAGAAGATTAAAAACAATAACACAAGAAATAATACCCCACCTCATAATATAGTTGTATTTAAACCCCTGACTGCTGAAATACTCTATGAATGTTTTTCCTTCCAGGAATCAACTCAATTACATCACAGAAGAACTTAAAAATCCTTACAGGTAAAACTGTGTAGGAAATCAGTGTTTTTATTGGCAATAAATCAAACCCTATATATTTATTTATAAGCAAACATATAATTTGATTTGTTTTTTAAAAACACTAATATTCTATTATTCAAGGTTTGAGCAGTAGAGACAAAGCTAATTAGCTAATTATTATTACAGGCTTTGTATCTTTGCATAATTTGTATTTTTCCTTTTTTACAATCCTGATTTCCATAGCTCTACAGTAAAAAAAAACCAAAACCAAACAACCCAAAACCAATTAAACAAACAAACAAAAAATTATTAAAAACACCTAAAGAGCATATCAGGAAAAGAAAGAATCCACGGTTTACTATGACAACTGTACCAGGGATACAGCAATGCTGATGGGGTCTTATTTTTCCATTCTTTAGAAATCTACCACTGTCAATAATTATTGGAATCCCCTTGGTCACGGTTTGTTATGTTCTGATAAACATTTCCTATTTCACTGTGATGACTTCAACAGAGCTCCTGCAATCCCAGGCAGTTGCTGTGGTAAGCTATTTAATTTTGTAATAGAACATCTGAAGAAGGCTGTGTGCACTGAAGTCATCTAAGTCATTAAGTTCCATTAATTTTTCATAGGATAAAATTAATTTTAGTCTAAGCTGCTGGTGCCACCTTTCCCCCCATTATCTACTATCATTTCTTAATCTAAAATTTCAGTAATGCCTAATTGAAAGAGCAGTTCTGTCATCTCCAAATGAGAATAAAAGGAGGAAGCAAAAGTAATGCAGTCTTCAGCAAATATTTTGCAAACATTGCAGGTCAGAGGGTGACTGCTTTCCAAAGGCATCAAAAAGATGGAAAGAGAAATATCATCTGACAGTTACTTTGCCATTTTCTCTGTTTCCAGTATTTCTGAGAAAGAAGCACATGCCAAATGACAGTAGATCAAAGTTTTGTTATGGAGATAACAGCAAATAGTCCATCATTCACTTCCACCTTATTCTTTTTGGGCTTTTATCCTTAACAAATTTGAAAGATAGGATTTTTACATTTTTGCAAGACATACTCTTACAGATAAAAGTAGAAATTACAAAAGTTTTTGAAACCATAGAAGATACATCTGCCCCTTCAGTTCCATTCAGTAAATTTTCTGTGTCTCTAAAACAGCTGTTGAGGTCCTGCAACAATTTTCCTAATGATAGTTTTTGGGGAAAACAAACAGTACGTGACATGTAAGTACACAGTCTAGCCCAGTGAAGAAGTGCAGTAATGTTGAAATGCTTAATTTTTTTATTTAAACAGAAGCTTTTAAAATTTAGATCTTCTGTGCATTTCAGCAGCTTGTCTGCACAAAAAGATACAGCAAAGAATGTATGAAGTTAAATCTTGTATAAGAACTGGTCCTCTTCAATACACCTTTAAACTTACAATCTGAACAACACAGCAACTAGCACTGAACTGATCAGACTGAATTAACAAAACCTCAGCACTGGCTCTGAGCAGAGGCAGCACAACAAAAGGAGTGCCCTGTGCAGAAAGGTCTATACAGCTGTAAGTAGCCTTTGAGTGCCCTAATTTTGGACCAAGAACTATCACTGATGTCAGACTTTTCAAAACCAAAGTTCTTTATGCTTGACTTACTTAAAAAAAAACCAAAAAACAAAAAACAACCCAACTAAAAACCTAAACCTACCTGTCAAAACATTTAAATTCAAATTAATTTGCTGTTGGTCAATGAACCTACCTGAGATCTGCAGCAACAACTAACAAACCACACCACAGGTGAAAACTCAAATGTAGTGAAAGACCAGAGGGAGTTTGTCCTTGTTTGCCCCCAGCTCAGGCTGTCGTGATGTCACTGCTGATGTTACTCCTTCTAGAGAGGCTGAAAACAGCTTTCTGTGTGGACAGTGCTCTGCAGCAATGCCATCTTCCTTCCTTCTGGTTTTGCAGACACATCCCAGAGTAAATGTCTTTAACGGAATTTAATTTCTGTGTAGTTTTTACATCTGCCTTCCAATGTTTCCTACAGATGTTGCATCTTAAACATCATGACAATAATACTTCACTCCATTTTATAGTGGTCAATGAATTAATTTGGCAGGGCATTCTTTAATAACTACACAAAATATACAACATGGTTTTGTTGGTAACATAGCTCAGATACCCATTTACTTTCCTTACAAAGAGGCTCTAACATTACTGAATATACTAAACGGTAGTTAATATGACAAAAGTGATTAATTTTAATCCAATTTCCCAGACATTTGGAGATAGAGTCCTTTATCCTGCCTCTTGGATAGTTCCTCTCTTTGTGGTATTTTCAACACTTGGATCTGCCAATGGCACCTGTTTTACTGCAGGCAGGTAAGTCCCCATTCTAAATATCTTCACATGAAAGGTTTTGAAGGATGGAAAAATTTATATACATGAACATAAGGACATTCTTCTGATCTGCATTACACAAAATGTAATTTGAAACGGCTTGTAAATCTAGCTATATTGTTTAATTTTCAAAAAATAAGCAGTAGCTATTCAGGTTTGAAAAATTAGAAAACATGGTCTCTTCTTAATTCAATGAAGGTATACCACTATAGCAAAAAAGGCTTTTTTAATCTCTAGTCAATTTTAATGCTGAGAATTAAACAGTTAAAAGTTACCAGTAAAAACATGACTACACCAGCAAAGGTAACTGAGAAGCTATTCCTTTCTACCACTTGCTCAGTGCTTCCATTTACTATTTGAAATATTTTAAGGTTTCAAAAGCATCTGAATACAATGCAGCTATAAAGACCATTTTTTGACAAAAGGTTGTCAATAGAGCTTTTTGCTATGAAACACATGAAAAAGGAAATATTTAATTAAAAGGGACACAGTTGGTAACATTTCCAAAAATAATTTTCAATTATATGTGCAAAATAATGATTCTGAAATTAGTTTCAAGTGCACTATTTTAATACTGTTCAGAATCTGTTTTAGCTCACTGCTTTAATACTGGTTATTTAATTTCCCTTATTTTTAACTGCTACAATACTCTTTAAATTTCAATGCATATAAAAGAAAATACTGATGAAATTAGTTGGATGTCTACTATTAGTAACACTGTTTATAGGTGCCACACTAACTGCATTGCCTTGTTTTTGTTTTGTCAGACTTGTTTATGTTGCAGGTCGTGAAGGGCACGTGCTAAAGATACTGTCTTACATTAGTGTTAAGCGCTTAACACCAGCACCTGCTATCATATTTTATGTAAGTATATATTTAAATACAGAAAAATAATTATCACCTATCACAAAAAATTCTCCAGTAATACATACTTTCACAGCCTCTTACAAGCAGTTTTGACACCTATCATGAACTATCTAGACAAGAAAATTGCTAAATGCATTTTGGAAAAAAGACTACATAAAACCCCCAACTTCTCTAATTTGAATATACTCATTCCAGAACTGGACTTTAAAAATCAAAATGGTTAAGAATCAATGGCATGAGAACAAAAACTTAAATGAATGGTTAATATTAGGGAATACTTTCACAAGATGCTTGCAAGCAATCATTACCCTCTTTCCTCCTTGTAGGAATATTTCCTCCATGTAGAAAATTTACATCACACAAAAAGAGGTCCAGTCAGTAAATACATTTAAGAATAAATCTAGAACATGTTGTTATTTTTATTTTACCCAGTTATCTTCAAGGGAAAACAAGATCTGTTAATCTTACCTGGAAAATTAATGCACAAACACTAGAAGTTTATGTCCAAAAAGGAGACAGAGGAGTCCCGTAGCTTTATTTGAATAAAGAGAGAGGTCATGGGGTACTCCCCCTGGTGTCTCTCAAATGATTAGAGGACACAGCCTCCTTTTTATCCTAATTTCCTGGCCACATTTCCCTCTCTTTTCCCATTGGCTGAGGTACTTGAGGGGTACGGTCTTCCCACATCACCTAATACACACCTTTCTAATGTGTGCCCCCCTGCTTTTTCTTTCTCCTTATGTCTCTATTCTTTTTCTCTAAATCCAGAGATGTAGCAGAGTCTTGAGTGAGTAACAATCTGTGCCAATTACTGGAATTCCTATGGAATTTATGGCTCTGCCCATTGCTTCTTTCACGTTTCTGTATCTGGCCTTATCTACCCTCAGGCCCAGTTTGTTTGTAAAGACACCTCCTCTTCATTCCTTTCAATTCCAGCAACATTAAAAACCTAAAAATATATTTTTTATCTTCAAGATAGTCAGTCAAGAATAAAACAGATTAATGCATAAAAATTATAAGCATTTTGACTTAAAATGAAATTAAGGTTGCACACAAAAATAACCACATGTTGACAGGAAGCAGTCACAATCTTTAAAGGTGCTGCAATACACTTAAGCCCAGATATTTAAGCAAAGGCATTCACAGTTCATACTCTGGAATGTCACTCTGATTCTTAAGATTTTTTTTAAGCCTTCTGAGTTTATATTCTGTTAGAAAATTTTCTTACACATTTTTTATAAACAACATATTATTTTGTATTCTTTTGTGGGGGTGGAGGAAGTTAATATATTGGTGGTTTATCTAATGTCCTTGGAGAGGTAGCCCATTTACTCTCTAATCTACTGTTACTTTTAGAAAAATATAAAAGTTAGAGTTAAGAAATAAACCTTCTTTTTTACCTTGCCATTGCAGTGGCTCGTGTTGTGCTTTCTCGTATCCTATAGCGACACTGGAACACTACACATGCAGCTGTATTGAAACAGAAATAAATTTCAGCCTTCTTCTATAATAGACTACACTAATTTTTGTTTTCCTTTTTAGGGGGCCATCACTATTATTTATATTATTCCTGGTGACATTGATTCACTCATAAATTACTTTAGTTTTGCAGTCTGGATATTTTATGGTTTAACTGTACTTGCACTAATTGTCATGAGGTTTACAAGGAAGGAACTCAGGAGACCTATCAAGGTAAGTTCTGTATGGCTTTTCCTCCATTCCATAGATGCTGTAGCATGAATTCACACTAAATATATCAGACTATTTAAACAGCACCTTTGGGCAGCATCCTTGTTTTTTACTACCCTTACCTGAAATCTAACCATTTAACAGCAGATTTGCACTAGGACTAGGCTCATAACGACTGGGAAAAGATTACAGAATGTTGGTTTTCACTTGCACAGACCACAGGGCACAAACCAAATTTTCAGAGATGGGTAATTGCAGTCAGCAGACTACCATTGAAAGAATATCCAAAATAAGATCCCAGATCATTGCATGTAAGTCACACATTTATTAAAATGCAAACTTGTACACTACAATTTGAAATAAGAGGTATTAGTGAATAATTTGGCAGAAGAGTTTTCCTGCCCATATTTCTGCTACTCCTTCCGTTGCCCCATCTGATTCCAGAAAATTTTAAATTAAAAATGCATAAAGCAATAAAAATATTCTTTCATACAGGCAACTTCTGTAAAAGCATCTAAAGAATGAAGAAGTGATTTTATTCTTTTTATCTTGCAGATACCCATCATCATTCCTGTCATAGTGACACTGGTGTCAATTTTACTGGTATTGGCACCAATCATCAGTGCACCTGAACTGGCCTATTTGTACTGTACATTATTTATACTTAGTGGACTTATAGTTTATGCACTTTTTGTTCATTTAAAATTCAGCTGGGCACAAAAAATATCAAGTAAGTATACTTCAGGTAGCCAGCTCCAAACTCAGCATTTGCTCAACTTGAGATTAGTTAGTATAATAAAGTTCACTATCTTGTCAATCCCTTCCAAAGCGTGTGAGCAGAATGTGGAGGGAAGCAATTTCCTTGGCATGCCGTGGGCTTTCCTGAAGACTGTATTTCACTCCTTCCTGTTGGAAAGAAGTAATGTCTGACTTGGGGAAAAATTAAACTGAATTAACAAAAAACAACACATCACTGTAGTAGCACAAAGAAACAGAACTAATAAATCTGTAAAGTTAGTTTTTCAGTTTTCTGTATTTCAAAACATTGCTTTAGTGGTTAACTGAAGATTAGCAGGCAAATTCTTATGCCACCAAACACTGGGATTTTACCTCTGATTATTAAGTTTACTATCCTTACTAAAGAAAATGTTAACAGCATTAAGATAAAAAAATAATCCCAGGGTTGAATAAACTGCAAGAACCCAGCATGACCATTTATCAACTGATTGCACAGTCCCTAGAGAAACTGATATTATATCAGGCAAAATAGGATACACAGGTATTTCTAAGAGGCTAACTGGAATTAGCTGAATATAACAACAGTAGTAGTTCTACAGACATTAACAAAATCTATCATCTGTCCCTCTTGTTCCCAGGATGATTAATTATAATGTAATAATTATAATTAATTATAATTTGAATTATGTAATTAGAAGCACTGTACTCTAATAGAAGTTTGGAAATGTAGAATGCTATAGTTTGGATCTTAAGACTGTTTATTCCCCACCCTTTATTTTTCATTTTGAAATAGGAATAGAGATAAAAAAAACAACTACACAGAAGAATAGTTTTCTCACTTAGAGTTTGAACTGAAAGTTCTCTTACAAAGCCTTTAACAATAAATCTTTTCCTCAGAGCCCATCACTATGCACCTCCAGATGCTTTTGGAAGTTGTTCCGGAAGAAGAAGTTATTGAATGAAGTATTTTATACCCACCATGTTGTTTTTAAGTGCTGTACTGGTTGAAGTATATTCAATTTAGTTTGGCACACATATATACTTGCTAAACTGTTATGTTCTTACTGGTGTATTAGTTTTGCCACACTTCTGTACTTCAAAGCATCAAATATATATAATAAAAGATTTCTAAGCCAAACTACAGTGTCCAGCAAAGCTGGTTTCATTGTTTGTTAGTAAGTTATGGTATCTTGTTTTCTGAATTAAACTTTTTAGCAGAGATGTGTTTTAATGTCTTTACAAACAATTCCATGGGTGTTAACATCTTTGAAATGGGTGTCAATGTCTCTACCAACTTCAAGCCACAGGTTTGTTGCAGAGTCCAGAGAGTTTAACTCCCGAAAGTCTGCACAAGGCTGAGTTTCTGAACTTCGGGAAAATGCCAGGTTCAAGGGGGATATGGGGTAGGTGGCTGAGGAAGGCTGCACCTTTCAAGCACCTCAGCCAATGGGGAAAAGAAGAGAGCAGCTTGTGGCCGGGATTTTGGGATAAAAGTAGGATGTGCCCTTCGAAAACTCAACAGAGAAACCCTCGTGGGCGTTTGCTCTGGTGGACTCTGCCATTGTTCAAATTAAGTTGCAGGACTCCTCTGTCTCCTTTGTGGACACTGGCTTTTCATAGCATGATTTTCCATATAAAATTAATAGAAAAACCTTTTCAGTTATGAAGAGGGCAAACTTAGCAGCAACAGCATCCAGGTGCTTCTGACGACACTATTGTTATAAATGAAAGCTCCAGCTTATTAATTTAAGAAAATTTATTAAATATACCAAATATAAATTTAGAGAATGACAACAAAAAGAAAAGCCACTATCAAAATGAAAAAAAAAGGCCAGTGCTGATCCCGGGATCGTGCTGGGTGAGACACAGGTTTGACCACTGCAGCAGAGGGTCCCCTATGCTTCACCCCGACTGTCCTGTCTGGCCGATTTTTATACGATTTTTTCTTGCCTGAGACAGAGTCCCTTTTCTTCCTTTTTGGACTGCAGTATTCAGGTGAAATTCTTTTTTCTGTGGCAAGTTGAACAATGCATGTCCGGAGAGTGATGAGCACCATGATCATGGGAATTCAGTATTGAGATGTAGCTCCCTGATGGCTCTGGCTATCTCAATTTCGGATATTTATCTCATATTTATCTTCGGGTGTTCCTCAGACTACCTTGATGGATGATCCATCTCCGGGCTGGCCACATTCATTTACTTGTGAATGGAGTCCTCCCTCCTTTGTCCAGGTGGTTTCAACACTGTGTTGCAATCCCCATCGCTGGCTTGTGGGTTTTTAAAAACGTCTAATAAAAGTATATCTTAACAGTACATAACTATAAAATATATGACAACTTTATTTGCACAAATTATCATATACACATATAACACTATGAAGAAAACAATACAGCTCTTACAGCATCACAGAAAGGACAAAAATAATATTAACACCAGACTAGCTCTATCCTCAGCAAGAGACCAAAATATTAATTCTTAGACCAAATATTAGCTATCAAAACATCAGTCTTTGAAGTTGGATATTGCATCCTACAATGTCAGTCTTACAGAGAAACATTCAATCTGCTGCCTTAAGGAAAGGTCCTAAAGAAAAAGAAAGGCAGTGCTGAGCATCACTTTTCATATGCAGCTTTAAGCTGTGCAACACACACTGGTGTTACGTTTTTTGATTTCAGCTGCATACACCTTTACATTTTTGCTCTCTCACTGAGCCCAGATCCATAATCTTAATCTGGAAGCAAAAGAGGAGTTAATGGCTGCTGAGTTTCACATTCACTTTGAAGGACAGCAACACCACCATGCAACCCGGGGCTATGAGCTCCTTTCACACTATGTACTATCACATTCTTTAAATCATGCAGAGCTCCTGAACCTAAACTAACTGCGCCAAATATAAATACTGGTCAAAAAAAAGGTGCCTGCTCAGCAAATGGTTGCTGTCTCCACGTTTAATTCTCATCCTGTGAAAAGCAACACACCCTGTGGAGTGATGCACTTGACCATCTGCTGCATGTATCGTCACATTCATTCGTCCTTGCCAAGCCCAGCTTCCAAAGTTGCTCTATCCAGCAATTACTCCCTGTCCAAAGGTCCTGGAACAAAAAGTAAGCGCTGGCCTTCACTTTCTCTTTGCAGCTTATGAAGTGCAGCACACACAGGTCTGTGCACTTCGCTCTCTGCACCCTCATGCACTTTGAGTCTCATGGAATCCAGTAACAAAACTAAGAACATTCAGCTGGTGGTCTCACAGAAAAGGTTCTAGGAGAAAGAGGCTGCACAAGAATTCACTTTTGTTTTGCCCCCTATAAACTGCACAGCCATCAATGAAACGATTCCTTTCCTTCCCCGCCAGATGCAGGATCCCATGCTGTCAGTCCAAGAGCCAGGATGCACACTGGAGCTCTTCCTTTACTGCTGCCACACCAGCGGGGCCGGGCTGGAAAGCGCCTGGCTTTTTCCTGGGCGCTGTCAGCTCATCACAACCACCACACCATGGCACTGTCGGCTCGCAAAAGAACGAAACGCTCCGAGCCCAGCTCGAAACCACCCCCAGGGCAGAGCCAGGTCTGAAACGCCCCTGCTCTCCATCTACTGTGCCAGCACAAAAAGATCCAGCTGATCTCACCCCTCCCCTACTCTTCTTTGCACCATACTCAAAGGGCAACACAAACTCCTTTCTTCTAACAAAGCTTTTCACTCTCTCAGACTCCTACAAACTTTGAAACATCTGAGCTCACAAAAGTGCCAGCTGAGAAAGCTCTTGCTACCTACAATTTCAACTGAACCCATGAAGCGCCCAGCACACCCTGCTATTTGCACTTTCCTTCTCCGTTCTAGGTACCATCCTAAGCCTTACTAGAAATGAGGCACTTGTCTCAGACAATATATCAAGCAGCAGTTCAATTTATTAATTAATATGGTGATGTATGAGCAGAGACAGCATTGGGTACAGTGGTGGGGGTCTCCCCCTCCGACTGCACACTGGTTGTTGGGCTTGCTGGTATTTATTGATCATATTAATGCATATTCCTAATATTTTCCCAGTTTCTATGAGAGCCTTCAACAGTTTCCATTTCTACTTTTAACACCACAATTCGATACTTCAGGATCATAAATCTACGATGGTAATGTTTGGTTCCTTTCCAATTTCTATACCCTACTGTATATATCCCAAGATGTGTCCCCAGATGGTGGGGTCCAACTTCTATTTTCTGGGATCATTAATCTATGGTAGCGATGTCCAGCTTCACTTTTTGTAATCATCAATCAACAACCTGGATGTCCATCTTCCTTTTCCAGGAACTTGGAATAAGGTCACTTCCCTTTCTGTTTAAATCCTTTATACATTCTAAAGCTACAGCTTAAAAATCCTTAGTACTCAGCAACATTCTAAAGTTATAATTCAAAAGCTCTTATTACGAAACAGCTTAAGACTTAAACATTCTAAAGCTACAGTTTGATATCCTTAATATTAAGCAACATTCTAAAGTTAAAATTCAAAAGTTCTTATTGCAAAACAGTTTAAGACTTATAAGCTTTATTCTTTCATTTAGTTACTAAATTTGATAAAGAATTTTGATTAGAGAGCATTTATTAAAAAAGAAAACAAATCTAAATATAGCTTCCCCCATTTTTTTAATGTAATGTGTGTTTGTGTGTATTTTAAAAAAATTGTTTTGCTTTTGACGCAATTGAAAAGCTTCAAAATGTAGCAGCATACAGGAATAAGCTCTCAGAAATATATTTTTAAATGTGAGAGGCATTAAATACATAGTCCAAATTCTTTGGAGAAACACCTATTTGCCATCAGTTTTCCATATTGGGACAAGTTTAACATCACTGCATATTAGGAGTTTTATTCAAGTGCTTAACCTCAAGCAAACATTCATACAGACCTGAGAGAACTATGAATGTTCAAAATATTTCAATTTGGACCCTTCATGGACTTATAGCACTTGGATAGAGGGAAAGAAGAGAAATGTTCACAGCATATCATACAAGAGAAATTCTGCTGTATCAATGAATAGCTGAAAAACTTAAATGTTTTAAATAAAGTCAGGAAGGTTTCATTGCAAATTTATGTTTTATGTTTCATAATCCTATTATATTTCTGTTAACAAGAGGATGGCAAAGCAACCAACTTCTGTCCCAGCTTTGCTTTGATCTAAATTAAATTTCCAAATAAGCATCAGATGCAAAGAGCACAGTTTCTCAAGGAATACATTCTGCTATTGCCATCTTGTGGATGACCTGCAGCATGATGTTGCTCATTTGGCATCTCTCCCATCCTGCTTTGGGGAGGAATGTTTCCTGATATTCCAAACTGCCATGGCAATCCATTACCTGAAAGTTAAAAAGTTCTTTATGTAAAAATAATTGACTTTATTTCAATTAATCCATTAAAGAAAATTAAACTTGTCTCCATAAATTGTCAGTCACTTTGTCCAACTAAGATATTGAACAGCAGTAGTATGTGAACTGAACTTTAAAAAATATCAGCTGTGACATAAAAATGGTTTTAATTACCTTTGTATTGTTCCCTATTTGCTAGAAGATTGCATTGTGCAGAAGAAGAATGAGCCATTGTTTAAGGCACAATGCTTATGTGAATCATAAGACCATTCAAAGTCACAAAGCCTTGAAGATAAAAGTTTTAAATATGAATGTATAACAGATTGAGCAACACAGAGATCCTGGTGCTCAATGGGAGGAGCTATATTTTATATATATATATATATATATATATATATATATATATATATATATAAATGTTCCAGAAATATTGTGGACTTACAATATTGTTATTTTTCTTCTCACATTTCATATGTATGAACTCCCCCCAAAAACAAGAGTTCCAAAGGCAAGGGAATATAGACATAATGATGGAATTCCCAAATTTAAAAAGATTTGTATGCCTAAAGTGTCAAAGGCTTTGCTTTCAGATTTACCCCAAGTCTAGAACTAAACAGAAGA